TGGAGGGAGCCCACTCTAGGAGAGAGCCTGGGGACTGTGAGGAACAAGGATGCTGATGTGGCCTCCTTTAAGGTCCTACTGACTCTGAACAAAGCAAGCCTCTTACTCTGTTCCCTGGCCCATAGCCATGCTTCCGGGTTCCTCTCCTCACATTTGCAAGGGGCTGGAAGGGCCACTGTGGGGCAGCTCCAGGCCTGGCCCTGGCGCCTGGGGCCCTGGTGTTAGGTCAGGGACCTCCTGTGAGAAAGCAGACCTGTATTTGGGCAGGCTGAGTGCGCCCCGGCCAGTCTGCTTTGTTCAACTAGGAGCAGGGGTGAGGGTGAGAGTGAGGGTGAGGGTGAGGGTGAGGGTGAGGGTGAGGGTGAGGGTGAGGGTGAAGGTGAGGGTGAGGAGGAGAAGGAGAAGGAGGGAACTCACTTTGACTGAGCACCTAACCCAGACCTGCGGCTGCATTAGGCACTGGGAGTCGTCCCCAGATGACTTGGGGAGTGGGCCCGCCTGGATACTGACAGTTACAATCGCAGTGCAGTTACCCTCACGGTGAACCTGTACTGAGCACTTACTGTATGCAGGGGCTTCCCAGGCATTACCTCATCTAATCTGACTGCAGGCTTCACTAGCTGTCACTGCCCCCATTTTACAGGCAAAGCAGCAGATACAGAGCAAGGCCCAGGCTCTTGTCCAATGACAGTTGGAACTGAGAGGGTCAGACTGAATCCAGGCTGTCTGGCTCCAGAGCCAGCTGGCTAGGCCTTCCTCTGTACAGCCTCACCAGGCGTGAGTGGGGGGCCAGGAGGCAGCCCAGGGGAGGGAGGGATCTGCTTTGTTGTGGGTGAGAATTGGATCCATGGAGGTCTTCGTACGAATGTCTGATTGAGGCTTTGAAGGATGAAGAGGAGTTCGGTGCAGAAGGGCAGGGAAGGTGTTTCTGTCAGAACAGCCCATGCACAGGTAAAGAGGCAGGAGCCAGCGTGATGGGTTTGGGGAATTACAAGCATAAGCAGGGAGAGGTGACAGACCAGGCTCCAGGCACGGAGGGCCTGTCCTGTCCTGCTAAATCGTTGGGAGTTTGTGTAAGACACACTTCCCGCCCTCTCGGGGCCTGTCCTGAGTTTGCCTTTTATAGACGTAAATAAATTCATTTCAAAAGGAAACTTTACGTCACCTCAACACCACTTAACATAAATAGGTGACCATAAGAAGAGCATTAAAAAAGCGAACTGGAGTCATTAAATTCTCCCAGGGCCTGAGCCTGGGGCCTTTCTCTTTGTTAAAGGGCGATAGGGAGATGTTGGGGACAAATGAGAACGAGACGGAGACGTTCTCCTGGTCACATTTAAAGAAAAAATGGAAAAGGAAGGAACAAGTGGGAACCGCATTCTAGAATCAGCATTACTCAGTGCTGTGTCCTGCTCGGCCTAACGCCACCTGTGGAAGGCAGCACTGGTGTGATCTGCAAATCTCTAGCACTGTGTCAGGCTGTGTTACTGGGGGCTCCGGCCACAGCCTCGTGTCCCAGGCTCCAGTCGAGGTCACTTACTATCAGGGGAGAAAAAACACTCTGACAAACGTAGGGGCGGGAGTCCGCCTCTGCGGACTGTTTTGAAATCACCTAATGACAAGTGGATGGCCAGTGCAGGAAGTTAGTGTTAATTAACTACTAATCACGGTGATGGTGGTGAATTCGGGTTGGGGAGACGTTAGTACCCAAAGGCCTTGAAACATCTTTTAAAAGCATCACTAAAAATAACATTGAAATTGCAACCAGGTGAGTGAAGGACATAAAAGCCTGCTGGGAAAGGACATAGGCCTGCGGAGAAGCCAGCTCAGGACCCCACCTGCCCTTCCAGGAGGTGAGGCGGGGCGGGGTGGGGGGCACCTTTAGGAGCCCCATGAAGGTGACACAATAGAGATGGTGCCTTCTGATGTGGGGCCCATCTTGGAGGTTCCTGGGCCTCAATGGCCTCCTCTGAGAAATGGGGATAATAATACTTTATGTCTAGGAGGAAGGCCAGGCCAGCTGAGCCCTTAGGTTCTGTTCCAGCCCTGCCCACTCTTACCTGGTGTGGGTCTCAAATCCTGGGGCCCGGGTTGTCTCAGTGGCCAGGTGTTCTCCATCTAGGAGCAAACACCTAACGCAGGTATTTGCTGCTTTGAGTCACATCTGGCCCGTGATGTTTTACCTAAACGGCGTAGTTAAAAATGTTAAAAAACACAACTTTGGGGATTTATTACATGTAATAAGGTTATATATATATAACCGAATCTGGTTCACCCGCACCCCGGACCCAGATAGGAGGGAGGAGGGAGCCCTATTCCTCGCTGACCAGCCATTGGTTAGCTTGCTGCTGGGGCCAACCTCCCACAGTCCCCCCCACCCATCCCCCCTTGGCCGGCCAGCCCAAGGGACCCCACCTGTTCACGAATTTGTGCACTGGGCCTCTAGTGAGGTAATGACACGCACAGTTCGTAACTAAATAGCTTGGTGAACCATTGCATAGTGAACAGCTGGTGACCACCAACCCTGCCAAGAGAGAGCACAGCACGGCAGGCCCCCAGGGCCTCTGGTGCCTCTCCAATCACTTGACCTTGTGTTTTCCTTTTTTTAAATTCTTCGGTTGACCGTGTGATTTCCTTTTTCTGGCACCATTTCTGAGAACATTGTATGGGGGTTTCCACACCGATCCTGCCATTCTCCAGCACCCAGTCTCCAACCTCCAATTCAGTTCTCACATGAACTGCTCGCCGTGGGAACAGGCGCCACAGGTTACGCGCTCAGTCCCACAAGACCGCCCCCCTTCAGACATCAGCCATTAGTCCTGGGGGCCACCTGTACTCAGTTTCTCACCTGTGAAATGGGGATGTGAGCACATGTCCATGGCATTGCTGTGAGAAGTAAATGATTGCCTGAACAAATACAGCTGAGCACAGTGCCTGTCCCACAGCCACTGGTTGGCCAAGTTAGCTGTAACTGCTATTTTCTGCCTGACTTCATGCTGCTAGGATTGGGCTGGGAAAGGTGCTCAATCTTAGAGTTATGTATGTGGTGATTTTCCTAATTCATGCTGTCTTGGGCGGTCCTTCCCCTCCCATCCGAGCCCCTCTGACCCTGGAGTCTCCACCCCTTTTCCCTACCTGTGACACCAGCATCGTCTCGCCAGCCAAGAGGTTGGCAGATGGAAACTGGTGCTGCTCCTACCCTTCCCAGGGATGTTTTCATCTAAACGGGCTCTTTAAAAATCCCCACAACAAGGAGTAGGCTCTGAGAACTTGAGAAGTCTTTGCAGTACAACATAATATTAGGGATCATCATGACCATTTATTCAGTGCCTACTATGTGCTAGCTAGCCTTGCTCTGACTCCTTTAATGCATTCCCTTATTTGGCTTCCACAAAAGTAGAAGGTTGGGACTTTTTCTATAACTCCCATTTTACAGATGAAGAGAGTAAGGCACAGAGAAGTTAAGTAACTTGCCCAGTGTCACACAGCAAGTGGCGGAGAAGAGACACAAACCCAGGCAGCCTGACTCCAGAGCCCACTACAGCTTCTGTTCAGCGAAGTGCTCACCATGCGCCAGGAGTGTTCTCAAGGTGCTGTACACACATGATTATCTCTATTGCCTCCGCCGGAAATATGTCGGGTTTCTCTGTCAGTCCTCACACCAACCCTAGGAGGCTGGTATTATTATTATTACCTCCAATTCCAAGGCGAGAAAACTGAGGTCTGGACAGAGAACTGCCTTTGTGTGCCTCTCCTGCTATTGAAATGTTACCTACGAGGCAAGTTTGAACTAAAGGCTGCTTTGTCCTGAGCACTGGCCTGGGGCTGGCGGGAGTGCCGGGAGTGGGAGAGAGAGCGTTCATTGGCTTTGGAGATGGAAGTTCGAATTCTGTCTTTGCTAGTCCTCGCTTCGTGGCTCGGGGACAATTTTGGGGCTTTGGTGAGCCTGAATTTCCTTAAAGAACAATGATGGAGGTCATGTCCACCCAAGAGCCGCTGTGAGCCGGGAATGAGATAAGGCTCAGAGCAGAGGCACATAGTTGGTGCTCAATACATACTTGTTTTGTGGCTCCCAAGCCAGTCTGTTGTTCTGTCTTCTCATAGCAGAGTGCCTCCCGCGGTCCACCTACCAGATGCAAGCCAGCATTCTAGGTCTTTAGGAACCTGGGCTGGGACCTTCTTGAAGTCAAGGACGGCATCCCACGTGTCTCTAGATCTCCCACTTGGTCCAGCGTCTTGTATGCAGCCATATGCGATAAATGAAGTGGGTTGTTGTTGGTCTTTTTTTCCCAAAGTGAAAACAGCTTTTCCATTCCTATTGTTCTCCTTATAGAAGTAATAAGTGCTCATTGTAAAATGAGAAAAGAATTTACCGACCTTGTCTCGATGCAACCTTGTCTTAAATGAGACGTTGCTGGTAAGGGGCTCACCTTGATACCTGGCACAGAGCTTTGTAACGATCCTAATTATTCAGAAACACATAAAGGTATTTAACAAAAGTAAAAACCACCTGCTGACCTCGCAGATGTCCTGACAGATAATTTTCCATGTGTGTACACAGACGACCCTACAGACATAGGACGGGCACTTCTTCAGTGGATGTTCATGGCCGTGCTTTTTGCTTCCATGGTAACTGGTGGGCCTCTCCCTGTGCCAGTAAACATGGGCGTGTGTTATCCTCTGGGCTGCTGAGTGTCACTGCTCAGGGATGTGCCGCGACTGATTTGGTCAATGCCCTGTTGCTGGGCACCTCAGGGATCCTATTGTCACTTTGAGTTGGGCCGGAAGGCACAGGGCAGCTGTAGACCAAGGAAACGTCTCACTGGCCGAGGCCTCTTTAGTTACGAAACAGCCGCCGGGGAGGTCACCGGGGCTGACACGGTGGCTGCTGTGACGTGTAGCTTTGAGTTGCGTGCAGGACAATCAGGGAGACGTCCCTGCCGTGGGCCTGGGATGAGCTCAGAGCATTCCTCCCTTTCATGGTGCTGGAAGGAGCGGTCCTCTGGGAAGAGGGCCCTTGACTCACCCTTTTCTTTGCAGTCGCCTCCCATGCAATGTCCTCGCTGCTGGGACATCTGTCTCAGCAGAAACAGGACCGCGAGGGAAGGGAGAACCTGCCCGTCCCTCCTCTGAAGGCTTCCTCTACCACGTGAGAAAGCCCTTTGCAAACCGGACATCGGTGGGGAAGGGAGTGGGGATTCACCACGCTCACAAGCCAGCCAGTGGGGAAGACAGGGGTACCCCAGGGGGTCAGGACTCCCCTGCCCTGCCCACCCTGCTACCCTGTGGTTCCTGGAACACCCAGGGCCTTCCTGACAACAGTCCACGCATCCTGGTCTCCCCCTGCAGTGGCCGGGCCCTCCCCGTCCTGAGGCTGGTGTGGCCACCCAGCTGCTCCTCCGAACCTCAGTTTCTCCATCTGGAAAAGGGGAATGACGGCCCTTCCCTCAGACTGACGAGGCTGGGATAGAGTGAGGTGATGCAGGGACTGCTCAGTGCAATGCCCAGTGCGTCACCAGCGCAGGTAGTGCTGCTGGAGCAGGTAAGGCCGGGCAGGAGCAGCGAGCAGGCTCCCAGCACTTGCTGGGTTTTGAGGTCAGGGACCCCCACCACTTGGGGCAGAGATGGAGGAGATGGACGTGTGGCTTCCTGCCGTCGGGCACTTTAGAAAGCTCTCTGATGATGAGAAGGATGAGGCAGGGGAGGCTGTCTCCTCTGAGACAGGGCTGCCGGGAGGGGGGGGGTGGAGGGGGCGGTTGGTGGGGGGTGGAATGATCTCAGGGCGCCACGCCCCTCTGCCCAGCGCCCTTCCCAGACTTAATGTATTGCATTTCGCTTGGCTCTCACCGCAACCCTATGGGGCAGAGATATCATTCTTATTCTGGACATGGGGAAACTGAGGCTCACACGCCCAGGAAGGAGCATCGGGCTTGACGGTGAGTAGGGCACATCAAAGAGAGAGCCCGCCTCCTCGGGGCTGGACTCCCGGCTGCACTGCACGAGGCTGAGCGGCCTGGGAGCAGGTGTCAGGGTCTGGCTTCTCCGTCCCAAGGGCGCTGTGGGTCAGAGAGAGCGTCCTTCCCTCCCTCCAGGAGCCCCGCCCCCATGAGAGGAGGGAGACAGCGAATTGGGAGAAATGCCGCAGAGAAACGCATCCATAGTGGGCAAGACCAGGAGGCCCCCGCTCTGGGCCGGGGGTTGCAGAGTGGCTTCTAGGGAAAGCGCTTCCCTTCACACCCCTCAGGAAGCTTAAAATAGAAAGGACGGACTGTACCCAGTATTAGCCGGACATGGACAGTCAGAACTCCAGACACTGCTGAAGGGGGTGTAAATGTGTATGGCCGCCTCGGAAAACTGGCCGAATCTACTAACTCTAAACATCCGCATCCCCTAGGACATGGCAGCTTATTCCTGGATTTGTGCTCAAGAGGAACAAGCACTTATCGTCCCCAGAAGATATACAGGAAAAGGTTCGTCGAGTCTTAAGACCCAAACCAGAGACGGCTCCTACGTCCATCCGCAGGAGATTGAGTAAATAAACTGTGATAACTTCATGCCATATGATACCGCACAGCAAAGCGAAAGGGCAAAATGCTGTTACACACAGCTTCACGGTGGGTCTCCTTCAGGTCAGACTGAGCAAAGGGAGCCAAAAGCTGTGTGAGGCCACCGACTGGAGGCTGGCAAGGGACCCTTGGTGAGAAGGGCCAGAACCTGCTTGCCTGTGGGAGGCCCTGGTGGAGGGAGCAATGACCTGGGGGTAAGTACACGGTGGGGGAGGGAGGGGGGTGAGTACACTGGGGTGTGCATATGTGGAAATTGGTTGAGCCGTACATGTAGTACTGATGCACTTTACTGAACGTAAGTCATTACAAAGTCAAAACAAGACAACAAACGAAAAAGGAGAGGTGGACCAAAGCTCAGATCTGAAGGATAAGTACAAAGGGGCCAGCGAGAAGGGGAGCAGTGTTCCTGGAGGGGAAGCCAGCACGTGCAAAGGCCCAGAGGCAGGAGTGCATGGCGCTGCTTCTCATGGCACCAGGCTCTCTTGATGATGCTCTTGCCCCTGGCTCCTCTGTGCCCCTTTCCGCTCACTGAGGGTTTCTGCTGTGGAACGGGTGGGCGGGCATGAGGCCAACAGCTCCCTCCTCAGGTCTGTGTCCGAATGTCCCCCTCTGAGTTGTCGAGAAGGAGCTGCAGTGAGCGCGGGAGGGACAGGACTTGGAGTTCAGAGTTGGGTCCAGAACTCACTCCACGTGCTGTGGATGGGTCACTTTACCCCCCGAGCCCCACTCTCCCATCGCAGAAGGGCCTTTATCATGGGGAGTTCTAGTGACAGAGTCTGGGGAAAAGAGACGGTGAGCAGGTGCTTGTCATGCAGGAATTGGGGAATAAGGCCCGAAAGCAAGCCCCCCAAACTTGTGGCTCCCCCTAGAGCAGCGGTTCTCAACCTGTGGGTCGCGACCCCTTTGGGAGTCGAATGACCCTTTCACAGGGGTCGCCTAAGACCATCGGAAAACACATATATAATTACATATTGTTTTTGTGATGAATCACTATGCTTTCATTATGTTCGATTTGTAGCAATGAAATTGGGGGTCACCACAACATGAGGAACTGTATGAAAGGGTCTCGGCATTAGGAAGGTTGAGAACCACTGCCCTAGGTGATCCTGCATGGCCCTGGTTAGGCCTCTGGCATCCCTGGCCTTGAGTCCCTGTCACGTGGAGGCAAACCACACCTAGAACGGCGCCTGGCACATACCAGAGGTTCGGGGAATGTTGGCTCATGAGAGCCGGCTCCGAATGCACGCCAGGTACTGCTCTCAGCTTTTTACACACGTGGACTTGCTTAATCCTCATACTCCCTTCCATTTTACAGAGGGGGAAACTGAGGCACGGGGCAGTTAAGTCACCTGCCTACAGTCACACCGTTAGTGAATGGAGCCTGGCTCTGGATCCCCTCCTCGTACCCACACGGCCAGGGAGCCAGATTATACAGCGCTGCCCACTGGCCTTCCCAAAACAGGTCCACAGAAGCCTGGAGAAGGTTCTGGAAGCAACCAGGGCTCCCCCAAGGCTGTTGTTGACCAAGAGCAACGCTGTCGGGTAGCCAGTGGGACACTTCGGCGCCCTGATGTCCGTGAAACCTACGCCCTTTTCGAGGAAGGCAAACCCGCCCAGAATAATTGTCGAGCCAGCAGGCAGCTTAAGTCGCTTGTAAGCCCGGAGGTGCCCAGGAGGGATGAGGCCCAGCAACGTGCCCTTTTGGCCAGCGTTGGTGTTTTTTTGGCTGTTGCTGTCATCATTATTGTTTTTGGGGAGGAGAGATGGGACACCTCTAGAGTCTGCTGTTTTGTTTAAAGGATTAATTTTCACCTGTAGCATCATGTGGGATTTGCAGCCGCTCCCTTTCCTCTGTGCCATCATGTTTTACTGCTCTCTTTCATTTCTCCATGAAGAAGCCTGGTGAGAATGTTCTAGAAACTGCAGCCTGCGGGTGAGGATGGGGACACAGTGGAGAGAGCAGTTTATTCTCCCCAACTGAATTTAGATGCCAGAGAGGACCACTGGGTGTGGGACCATTGGAGATACTTATTTTTTCCCCCCTGCCTCTTTATATATTTATGGGCTGTCCATATTTGCATAAGCAAAAAGGTCAAAAAAATTATGGTGATAATAGCTACTATTTATTGAGCATTTACTACGTGCTGATTTCACAGGTATTAACTCATTTAACCCTTATAACCACCCTATGAAGTGGATATTCTTCTTAGCCTTATTTCCAGGTTGGGAACTGAAGTGTAGAAAAGTAAATCAGCTAATGAAGAATTCTCACTATCAAAATTTACAAAGAGATTGTCAATCAAAAGGAATGACCTACTGATGCTATGACATGGGTGAACCTCAAAAACATTGTGCTCAGTGAAAGAATCAAGGCACAAGAGAGCCCATCTTGTATGATTCCATTTATATGAAATGTCCAGAAAAGGCAAATCCATAGAGAGAGTAGATGAGTGGTTGCCCGAGGCAGGGGTGGAAACATGGAGTAACGATCAGTGGGCATGAGAGATCTTATTGGGAGAGAGAGAATATTCTAGAATGGATTTATAGTGCTAGTTGCATAACTTGGTAAATTTACTAATCACCATTGAAATGGGTGAATTGTATGATATGTAAAATATTCCCCAAAAAGTAGTGAGACAAAGAAGTGTAATTAAAATATGAAAGTCTAACATTTATTAAGCACCTAGTATGCACTTTACAGGGATTTTTTCCCAGCCCTAACAGCTCATTCATTTGTTTCCCTGAACTCATCTTTGTTGAGAAGCTATTATGTGCCAGGCACCATGCCAGGACACAGGAGTACAGCAATGAACTAGACTTGGTTCTGGTTCAAGGTCCCTGCTTGATGGAGATCATGGTGTAGTGAGCATTGGGGGTTGAGGTTGGGGTGGGGTGGAGATGCAGATGAAAATACCAGTGATGACAAGAGAATGTACCTGGTCTGTCATGCTGTGTGTAGACATGGTGCTGGCATAGTCCAGGGGATGCATCCCAATCCATACTTGGTGGGTGCTGGGAAGGCAGAGAAGGTTTTGTGCATGATGCTGAGACCTGAAGGAGGAGGGTAGTTACCAGGTGAAATGGTGAGAGAGTAAGGTGGGAAGAATGAAAGTTGTTCGACCATTCATTCATCTCCCTCCTCCCTCCCTCCCTCCCTCCCTTCTTTCCTTCCTTCCTTCCTTCCTTCCCTCCTTCCTTCCGTAACTGTTTATTGAGAGCCTGCTATGTACCCAGCAATTTGACAAGGCTGGCAAGGTGTCCGTGACAGAGACAGAGGGTATAAGAAGGGCCTTGCGAGTGAAATTATGCCCATTTCACTGATAAGGAAATGGAGGCTTGGAGATGAGAAGTAACTTGCCCATTCACACAGCTGGGGCAGAGATACAAACCTAAGCCAACTTTGTCTCAAAAGCGCCTCTCTGAAAATAGTCTCTCTTCTTGCTTCTAAGAAGAGTGTCAGATACACCACTGTGGTTTTGAGGGCCAAGGGGAGATGCCCCCCTAAGGGAGTGGAGCTGGCATCCCTCCTGTCTGTTGGATACCCCCAGCCCCCGTGAGGACCCACCTACAGTCTCTTTGGATGACGGATGGGGGACATGAAGGTGTCCAGGGCTGAGGGGAAGGGACCACTGACTTTACTGTCCTGAGCATTGGATAGGGAATGGAACCAGAATTGTAGACCAAGTTTTGCCACTAATTATTTGGGCAGCTTGGGGCTAATCCCTAGCCTCTCTGGGCCTCAATTCTCCTATCTCTGTAATGGGAACATTGGGTTTGCTGCACCCTGGCTCTGTCTGGGCTGACATTAATGACCAGGACTTTTGGCTCAGAAGTCCCCAGAGCTATGTGGTGGAAGTAGGATGACCAGCTGGTCCTGGTCTGCCAGGGACTTTCTAGGTTTGAGCAATAAAGGTCCAATGTCAAGGGAACCCCCTTGGTTTTGGGAAAATGGAGACAGTTGGTCACCGTAGCTGGAGGGCATAAGGTTAACCTACCAGCTCATGTTACCCGCAAAGATCAAAATACACAGCCTCTCACTTTTGCACCCATGAGGCCACAGAACTGTTTTCTAGCCATTTGGTTTGTACATATCATGTTTCTACATTCAGTCGGAAGTCCCTTCTAGCCTGGGTTCGACGTCCTCCATTTCCTTCAGACCTCCTGCTTCTGCTCAGCCATCTCCCCCAGGTCAGGTGTCCCTCCCTGAACCCCCTCCCACTTCTCAGGACCGTCCTTTGGGCTGCCTGTTGCCAATAGCTCCCCCAGAGCTCCTTAAGTTCCTGCCTTGCTCACAATTGATTCCCCAGCATTGGGGCAGGGTCTGTGCTCAATAAATGATCATGGAATTTCTGAGCCTCTTCAGTGCCCAGGACAGGGCTAGGTATCTCCGTCCCCGCCCTCGCCCCCCCCCCCCCAAGCTTCACACCCCAACTCCAGGATACTTCTGTTGGCAGAACAGATTCTTCCTAGAAAAGGCTGCAGGGCACCGCTCCCCAGGTGTGGCTTCTTAACCCCTCTGTCCCGCAGGCCCCTTGGGCATCTGGTGAAGACTGTGGACCCTTCTCAGGGTAACTTTTTAAAAATAAATATATATTTTTATTGATTTCAGAGAGGGAGAGGGAGAGATAGAAGCATCAATGATGATGAGAGAAAATATCTCATCATGTCCCCTACTGGGGATCGAGCACACAACCCAGGCATGTGCCCTTGATGGGAATCGAACCCGGGACCCTTCAGTTTGCAGGCTGAAGCTCTATCCACTGAGCCAAACCGGCTAGGGCCTCTGAATAATTTTTAAAAATTGCATTCGGGTTACAATGAAAACAATTTTTACTAAAATACAATTATAAAGTATTTAGAAACTGTTGGGATATAATAACATGTGCTTCTTTATTAATCCATTAAGTAAGATTCAGTGGTGAGCCTGATATGACCTTAGTTTCAGAGTTGTGGTAGCTTAAACAATATTTTGAGATTTCTACAGTAACTAAAGTGTGATATGAAAATATCTGCGATTTTTGTTAATGGCAAAATCACAGGGACTTTTTACCTGCTGGCTGCATTCATGATCAAAGGAAATGCTAAGTATCCTTTAGAGATTGGTGAAAAATGGAGATATAAACTTTTGTCCATCCCAATGTCACGAACCCTTCAGAATTCTATCCTCAGCCCCCTAGGAACTCCTGCTTTAAGGCAAAGGGGTTTTGACTCTCTAGGTTAAGTAAACAAGAAAAGCACCAAGAGATGAGAGAACAAAGAGTAAAGGGCAGTGGCCACGGGGCTGGGATAAACAGAGAAAGGTTTCATGGCAGGGCAGTTTCAGGCTGTGCTGTAGAGGTGAGCCTATTTTCGCAGGAAGCAAGAAGCTAGAGGTGAGGGAAGGAAACATGTGGAGGGTTTGCTCTTATGAGTGAATCAAAAACAGCGAACACCACAGCCTCGGCCTCACCCCAGAGCAAGCCCATGTCACCTTTGTGTCTCTTTTGTTGCTGAGAACACCAAGCCATTGTCCCTGTAAAACAGGGTACCTGCCCTCAAGCTTATACACAATGAGACAAAACAAACACCAAATGTAATAACAAGACAAATATTAAATTTCAATTAAAAAATGTGTCCAGAAGAATCTGGAACATGCCACACATCTTGCTAAGTGCACACAGAATGCAACCCAAAGACATTCAAAGGTAAGAGTCACCTCCTCTCCGAGGTTTGTGGTGAGGATCAAATGGGGAAATGGACAAGAGGCCAGTGGAGTGGGCAGGACAGAGTATTCGCTTTGGGACTGCTTGCTGCTGCTTCTCTGGTCTCAGTGACCTCGGTAAAATGGGGACAATAATTAAGTATGGCACCTGACATATACTAAGCACTCAATAATGAGAGCTATTATTATCATTTTTTTAAAAAGATAGGTGTTTGCAAATTGATTCTAGCGAATACCAGATTGGAGAACTTGGTCTTTAGGTGGTAGATCTGAAAACAGATCTGAATGAATGAAAGAATGAATGAATGCGTCCTCGGGTTGGCTCCACCCTCCAGATGAATTCCTTCCGCACGTTGCCCCCTAAGTGGCTCAATGAAATGGACCTCCAGCTCTGGGGTCAGCTACATCTCAGCGTGTGAGTGTGCGGTGGTGTGGAGGTGGTCATTCCGGGCGGGCGGAGCAACAGCAGCCCAGGCTGAGCAAGAGGGTGTCATGTTCCCGAATGGTCCTCACTGGGACTACCCTCCCCCGTCCCCCGTATCCCCTTAATCGGCGTGGCACCTCCGTGGGCCGGGGGACTAGAGGGCTCTGCAGTGCCCAGGCGGAACCTGGGGGCAAGGGGTGGAGGAGCCTGCCTGGGTCCACCGCGTGGGGAACGTGCAGGCACAAGAGAGGCCTTCTCCTGGGAAGGTCGATCTAAGCTGCCCAGGTTGAAGTGGAGGTGGGGTGCAGATGCACCTTCGGATGCTATGGTTCCCCAGCCCTTCCAGGCCGAGGTTTTCCGTACCCCGTGGGAATTTGGGTCCTGGGAATTGGGGTGGGAGAGAAGCGGAGTCTCCTTGGCAGAGGACGTGGGGGAGAGGGCTACCTAAATCCAGAAACGAGCGCTGCGGAAGCTGCTTGTCCCTTTAAGAGGCCGGGCTAGCTCTGCGGCGGCTCCAGCTAACCGCAAGGCTGGTGCAGCTCAGCGGTCCGTGTCTCCTCGCAAAGAATCCGAGCCGCGCGTGGCACCAGGACCCGGCAGGAGAGGCGTGGTCCAGGGGGCCTGGGCGGAGCCAGAGCTGCAGACAGCCGGTCATTGGCGCCAGGGTAGGGGCGGAGCCCGTGAGTGGGCGGAGCCCCGAGTGGGTGGGCGTGGTCCAGCGTTGCGGGTCTCGAGGCCCCGCCTCGGACAGGAGAAGCGCCGCAGGAGGCGGGTGGGCGGGGCAATGGGGGGCGGGGCCTGCGTCTGCAGTGGGCGGGGCCCGCCGCAGAGAGAGGGGCAGTGCCGGCCGAGAGTCCTCTGCTCGCTGCCGCCGCGGCGCCTCCACATCGTCTGTGACAGCTCCGGCACCAGTATCCGCAACCCTCGCTACATCGCGCAGCCGCCGCGGCCTCCATCGCAGCCTGAGTCCCGTTCCTTGCCTCCGCGCCCACATCCGGGGGCGGTCCGGTCCCTGTCGCTGCGGAGGCCGCATCTGGCGCTCATCTGGAACTGCCCGTCCGGCCGGCCGCCCTGGAGCCCGCGCCCAATCTGGCCCGGCCGCGCCGGGAGCCCTGCCCGGAGCTGGAGCCTCCCCTGGAGCCGCGGGCCCGGGGCCCTGAGCTGCGCAGCCGGCGCATGGTGAACTCGTTGCTGTTCGGGGAGATGGCTTTGGCCTTTGGCTGTCCGCCGGGCGGCGGCGGCGGCGGGAGCTGCCCCGGCGGGGGCGGCGGCGGGGCCGGGCCAGGGCCATCGCCGGTGACGGCGGCGCTGCGGGATGACCTGGGCTCTAACATCCACCTCCTGAAGGGGCTCAACGTGCGCTTCCGCTGCTTCCTGGCCAAGGTGCACGAGCTGGAGAGGCGCAACCGGCTGCTGGAAAAGCAGCTCGAGCAGCAGCAGAGCGAACGCGAGCGGCGGCTGCGCTACAAGACATTCACCCGCGAGCAGGCCGTGCAGACCGGGCCGGATCTGCTACGGCCACCCGCACCGGGCAGCGGGCACAGCATCGGCAGTGGCAGCGGCGTGGCGGCCGGCACCAACGCCAACGCCGTGGCCCTGGGCGGCCTGCCCCCCGGCGGCGGCTCTCACCCGCAGCTCTATGGCCGCTTGCCTGGGACCATCTGGAGCTACACGCAGGTGCGGCGCACGGGCGGCGGCGGCGTGGAGACAGTGCAGGGCCCCGGCGTGTCGTGGGTGCACCCCGACGGCGTGGGAGTGCAGATCGACACCATCACGCCCGAGATCCGTGCGCTCTACAACGTGCTGGCCAAGGTGAAGCGCGAGCGCGACGAGTACAAGCGGAGGTGAGTGCGGCCTCGCCTCTCCCCTGTGGCCGCGGCGTTGGCGTTCGGGAGGGGCCGGGGGCAGCCAGCTGGTCCTAGCAGGTGGGCTGCAAACTGTTTGCAGAGGACCCTGCGTGCGCTGGGAAAACTCGGTTATCTGTTTCCAAGAATGGGGGGCGGCACTGACTACAGCAGGGGCACCTCCGAACCTTTGTTGGGCCAGGCGCATTGTTTTGTAGGTGACAAAATAGCCATGGGTGTTTTAAGTCATCTCATTTAATTCTCATAGCAACACGGAGTGTAGAGCATTCTTATCACCATTTTATAGATGAGGAAGCTAAGGCATGGAGATGCAAGTGACTTGCCTGAGGGGATTGTCTGATAAGTGGTGACCCCAGGATCTGAACTAGTGGTTTGAAGTATTCCTGTCCAGTCTGTCTCCCAGCCTAGGTACTTTCCCAAGAATAGGGAGAGGAGCTGCCCTCCTTCCCCGGGTGAAAAGAAAAAACTCTTCAGTAACCCACTGACCTTTTGTTCCTTGAATTAAATGAGATCGTGTATTTGAAAACGGAAGCATATCTGTCTAGCAGTGGGGCTAGGGTCCGCCTTCTTGCTCCAGCTCTAGGATCCAGCTGGCTGGGCTGGGTAACCAGACCTACATTAGATAGGCCACAAGCTTTTAGAAACCCCTGCCTTCACTCCTCTCCCCTGCCATCCTATTGTCATGGTTTATTGGGCTTCAACAAACTCAGCCCCGAAGGCCCACAGAAGGAGGTAAACCTTGGACTGGAAGACTGGACATTGAATGGACCAAGACCACCATCTCTGAGTAGGGTGCCAGGCAGACTACCTACAGGACTGGCCAGCACGTTTCTACCCAGCCCAGATCCCCCAGGTGGGAAAGTAACATTGTTTCCTGCCTACAGCCTGGCTGAGAGGACTGTGGGCTCCACTTTCAGATGAGAGGAGAGGGGTCTGTCTGTCTGTCTGTCTGTAGCATCTCAGGCCTGGGCGGGGGTGTCCCAGTCTGGGCAACTCTGAATTGAGAACTTGGCTCCAAACTCCTGGATTTGGAGGATGTGCTGAGAGGATCTTCCCTTCCACTCCTCGAGTCCCTGAGCCACATGAGCACAGAGGTCTGCCCAGGGAGCTGGGCATGGGTCTCCCTCCTTTTCCTCTACTGGGAAGGCGTCAATATCAGCCCCATCACCCGAGATTATTGAACCACTTGGAAGCCTGCTTGCTCATCAGAGAAACGGAGCAATGAAATTCATGCACATTTGCATGAGGGGAGAGGAGGGTGGTGATGCTCTTTGGAAGGTATAAAACAGCGTTTCTCAACCTGTGGGTCGCGACCCCTTTGGGGGTCGAATGACCCTTTCACAGGGGTCGCCTAAGACCATCGGAAAACACATATATAATGACATATTGTTTTTGTGATTAATCACTATGCTTTAAAAATATATTTTATTGATTTTTTACAGAGAGGAAGGGAGAGAGATAGAGAGTTAGAAACATCGATGAGAGAGAAACATCGATCAGCTGCCTCCTGCACATCTCCTACTGGGGATGTGCCTGCAACCCAGGTACATGCCCCTGACCGGAATCGAACCCGGGACCCTTGAGTCCGCAGGCCGACGCTCTATCCACTGAGCCAAACCGGTTTCGGCCACTATGCTTTAATTATGTTCAATTTGTAACAATGAAATTGGGGGTCACCACAACATGAGGAACTGCATTAAAGGGTTGAGGCATTAGTAAGGTTGAGAACCACTGGTATGAAATAATCAAGTTGATGGCATTAAAGATGGTAGTGTCTCTGTCAAGCTCGCAGGACACAGGTGCCTGGAGTCTCAGGGCTCTCTCATGCAGGGCCTGGCTTTTTGGGAGTAAGTCTTAACCGCACTGTACACTAGCCACTCTGCTGGGCTGGTTGTCTCTCATGAGAGCTCTCAACTCCTTGTGGGCAGCTTTGTGGGGGTGGGTGGGGTAGGCAACCAGGCACTTGGTCTTTATGATGAAATGCAGAGGGAGGGGCCCTTCTGTCTGCCACTGTTGAGTGTGTTGTCATGCCCCAGGCTTGTGTTGTGTTGTGTTGTGTGTTTTGTGTGTGTGTGTGTGTGGAGTTGGCTACTAAGGAGATGGGCAAACCATGCCCAATCTTAAAGGGAGGTAGGTTGGCATTGAGCAATGCTCTGTTTAAGTTGTACTCGGGGTGTGGGGTGTGATGTCAGCCTCTGGCGCTGGCCTGGAATGAGATGGGTGCTGCGGAGACAGATGGAGTGAGGTGTCTCTCTTCCCGCCCTCTGGGATGTGTGTGCACCTTCTCTTCCTTCTTTTTTTTCTTTTTCTGAAGTTGATTCAGGGCTCACGTTGGATTTTCCCAAAGCAGTATACTTCCTTACTTGGGCCTCAGTTTCCCTCACTGTAAGCCCCAGGCTTCCTCAGATTCCTTAGGGATTCCTTGAATATTAAATAAAAATTAATATCTAAAGTATATTAAGATGCTTAAATGGTCATAACAATGTGCTCACTCCCTTTTAAGTGCTTAATGTTAACTCACTGAAGTTCACTTTCACACTAACTTGTTAGTAGTCGGACTCAAGTGAAACTTCCCCTTCTGCCATCTCTGTTTGAAGAGTATTTTGAGGTTACAAAGCAAACTGCTAAAAACTATTGCCATTTGTAACCACTAATCTGTGTGTCAGGATTTTCTTGACACCCTGCAGCCAAAACTGGAGATAAAATTAGACGGAATGTGGAACTGTCACCCATGATCCCAATTCTAAATGTTAACGGATCAAAACAGCCCCAGCAACCTCAGCGATTGAATGCAGAATTGGCAGCTGTTATATATTGGAACCTGCACTATAAATGTACACAGGTCCCATTCTGCTTTTACTTGTTTCTATATTCAGGTTGCTCAGAAGAATTGTCTTTTGCGAGGAGGGTGGGCATATGATCAACTTTTTAAAAACCATTGGGTTAGATGACCTCAAAGGGTCTTCCGAGCCTTGACAATATGTAAATCTGAGTTTGTGCTCTCAGCCCACTTCTGATTTCCTGTCTATCAGAGAAGTCAGAGTCTGAGGTGTGAGACCAAGGTGTTTGCCGGGGCTGCTGGCCACCGAAGGCTTCGGGGCCTTCCAGGGTGTCTAGCATGGAGCCCCACGCTGCGAGCCGGGGAAGGAGCCTGTGCCAGGAGAGGTTCCAGGGCTCCTCTGATCCAGCTGGAGGGACTCACAGCTCAGGGTCCCCACTTGCTTCCCAAAGGGCACCTTGGATGTGGAGCTCAGTGTTCTCCAATGTGGAAACTTTTTGGGTTCCACTCCATGACATGGCCAGATCCAGGTACCACCACCTGCATTATTTTTTATGTAAGATCCTAGAGGCCTAGTGCACGGATTCGTGCACTGGTGGGGTCCCTCAGCCTGGCCTGAGCCCTCTTGCAATCTGAGACCCCTTGGAGGATGTCGGAGGCCCCGTGCATGGATTCGGCCTGATCCCTGCAGGAGTATAAGTTCTTTGGTTAATCTCTTCCCGCCCTCCCTCCTTCCTTCTGAGATTCATCAGTCTGCTCCATGTTTCCATGCCTGTGCAATGAGCGTCTTCCCCCTGGTGGTCAGTGCGTGTCATAGTTAATGGTCAAACGGTAGCTTAGGCATATATATATATTTTAAACAGCTTTATTGAGGTATGATGTTCATGTCATAAAGTCCTCCCATATTAAGCGTAAAATTCAATGATTTTTAGTAAATCCACAGAGTTGTGCAACCATCACCACAATCCAGTTTCAGAACGCTTGCATCACCCCAATTAGATCCTTCTTGCCCATTTGCAGTTAATCTCCAGCCCCAGCCCAGGCTACCACCGATCTGCTTTCTGTTTCTCCAGATCTGTCGTTTCTGGACATTTCATGTGAATGGAATCATGCCATATGCGGCCCTTTGTGCCTGGTTTCTTTCACGTGGGTAATGTTTTTGAGGTTCGTCCGTGTTGTAGCATGTGTCAGCAGTACGTTCCTTTATGTTGCTGAATAATATTCCCCTGTGGATAGATCACATTGGGCTTATCCATTCACCTGTGTAGTCAATAACATGTAAATGGAGAAAGTCACCTGCTTACCACCTCACATCAGCACATGTGCCGTCAGTGGAAACACCCACTAAACCAGAGCCCCTGGCCTTGGGTCCCCTGGCCCTGGCCCTGCTCGCGATTGGTTTTGCCTCGGCCCAATCAGCTCTGAGCTCTTCACTGGGTGGGTGGGTGGGGAATGTGGTTGCAGAAACTCTAGCACCGAAGGACAAGGTTGTCAAGCGTTGATGTGGAAACCAAAACAAACATCTCTGCTCTGTCACCACCCAGTGCCACCAAAATATCCTGTTCTGAGTTTGCAAGCCGGGGGCTTTTGCCTGGGAGATTCCTCCGGAATCCCTCGGAACTTTAAACGGCGGAGGGTTCTCTGGTTTGGCATCCAAGAGGCCCAGACTCCCGGTCTGGTGCTGTGTGACCTCAGGCTAGTTGCTGCTCTCTCTGAGCCTTAGGTCCTCCACCTTTACACAGGGGGTTCACTTAGGGGATCCCGCCCAGCTCCCTCTACACTTCGGGTCTGTGACTTGAAGGGGCCTGGGTCGGGGCTGCTTTTTCTGCCTCCCAGGATGAGCAGCGGGGCCTCCCCCTCTCCTGACCAGGCCCAGGTGGTGCGGAACCCTGTGGTTTTGTTCCCTCCCCCTGCAGGTTGCCAAGTGCCTGTGCCCCTGACTCAGTCAGCACAAAAGGCTTGGTTTGTTTTTCCCTGGGCCCTGCGTGGATTGGAACTTCACTTGAGAGCCAGGGAGGACCACAGCCATTTAGTCTGGTGGTTTTCAAGGAGGCCCTTTGGAGCCTGGCGTCCAAGCAGGGTGCCTTGAGGTGATTCTGGGGCATCTGGGGTTCAGCCATGGCAGCCACACAGTTCCATTTCCATGACTCTTAGATCAATATGCTGAGGAAGATTCAATTGGAAAATGGGGTTTTGCCGT